GGTAATTTGCAGCAGCACGGTACCATGAATATCAATTTTATTCAAAAGAACAGATAATGAAAACTTTTCATTTTGTAGTGACTCACGTGTAATACACTGCATTTCCTTTAATAGGAAATGATGTGCGTACAAAATCCATAGTTGCTATGATTAGTTGTTGCTGATCTTTAAAGATAAGAAGCAAAGTGGGGGAAAAAAGTGAAAACTGTGTCAATTTATCAACAAGAAAGTTACTCAGATACCAGAAGTAATGAGGCTCTGAATAAAAATGACTATAATGAATCACTTCCTTGAAGTATAATTTAGCTTGTGTTTAGAACTGAGTAAGTACAGCTTTGAGGTCCTAAGAAGTGTGCATTTCATGAAGGCAAGTGAAATTTCTTTAAGTTCTTAAAAATTAGTTCGGTCCCTGTTACATAATTCGTGCTACATATATTCCAGTGCAGGATAATGGAGTTCGGAGCCTTTTATGTGCACAAAATAATGTGGTCCCTGTAGGTAGCATAAAATCCACTTGGCATGTGAAGCCAGTGCAGTGTGATGGCCCTGGAGATGTATTTTAAATTTGCAGGAGTGGATATTCAGTGGGAAGCAGGTTATATGATCAAGCACCTAATGTGCTCTGCAAATCTACTTTCTACTACTTTCCTTACTATTCAGACTCCAGGAGACTCCTTCCTAACAATTGATCAAAACTCCACCGCAGAGAAAGCAGGGCACAATTCTGTAGAATCAATGTTAACAGAGCAGATATTTAGAAGATGTTTTAAAAGTAATTTAGACTGCCATTCAGGAAGACCACTCTTGTCTTTGAGCGCTTATTTTCATTGTCAGTCATGAAAGATAAAAATCAATATTATTTTAGCAGAACAACTTAAAAAATTATTGCATATTATTACAGGGAGTTGCACATTACTGCCAAGAAGTCTGTGATTTTTTGGTCACTGCTTTAAGAACAAAGAATCTAATTTTGGGAATAGACAGTCACCTCACAAAGCAAAAAATCATTGTAAAGTCTCACTATCATCAGTCTTTCTAAGTTACAATTGTTCTGCTGAGTTGTTGCCTCCAAAGGCAGCAATTCTAACTTTAATAAAACATTTCTACTGCTCCTTTACTTATTGAAAATAATCCTTAATTCCTGAATAGTTTTTTTGCTCTTAAAAATCCCAAAGAGCTTGAACAAATCTGTATCTATTCCTGTATCAAGATCTATTAAAATAGGTGCCATGGGTCTTGGCACATGCTCTGTATTGGTAGGTCCCATAACAATGTTCCCCTTTCCATTGCCAGAAAACTCTTGACAAACATTATTTCAGCTGACTGCTTCTTTCAGATGGCCAGGGGCACTTCTGTAGAGATAGGTGCTCTAGCTTTTTTCCCACTACCTCCAGAGTATTTCTATCTCCTCTTCTGCACAATTTCAACAACAAAGACTTACACTCTCTAGTAAATCTCTGCAATTGTTATTAATTTATTTCATTTATACCTGGTACAGATGGAAATAACATTTGAGCTGAAGATTTATTGCATGGTCTTCAAGTAAAAGATTTTTAATCATTAAATCTTAATTAAGGTAGAAAATTCAGCCTCCCTCTGGTAACTCACTACATTATTTTTTCTGAACAGCCACCCTGGATTTCATGTTAGTACAGAAATTCAGGAACTGGCTCATGTCCTGTATCCCTCTGTCTTCCAAGGTTGAGATTCCAGTAAGAATTGCTGATTTTTCCCTTTCCCTGCAAGCAACAATTTTTAACCCTAAGTTCCTTTGTAGTTTTTGTGGTGCTGAAGAGTTTTTCAGTCATTGCTTGAGTGTTGACTGACCTATCAGTTCAAGTTCGGTGGTTTTCTTTCTAAATCTAGCATGGTGCTCCTATGCTATGTAGTGCTGTTGTGGTATCATGTCATCGTTTACATCAGTTCTCTAGGGGAAAGTCAGTGGTGATGCTAAATCAAAAAGATGAAGAAAAGTGGTCATTGTCAGTCATCAGAGTCTGCACTAAGCCTGTCACTCACATCTTCTCCTCACAATTTTGTGGGTTTTAATGATAATTGTGAGTTTTGGTGATTTTGCCTACAACGACAGATGTCAAGGTGTCTAAATCCTGGATATACAATTTATTCTGAAAGCCAACATTTGCATACCGTGCGTCTTCAGAGATTTTTGTTCCATTTTTATTGTTAGGAGCTTGATTTTTTTTTTATTTCTTAGGAGGCTTTCCAGCTCTTATAAGCCTCCAGGCTACAAACTTATTAATTGACAAGTTCTTTTCTTGCTTCTTTCAACAGATATTCATGTTATTCACATATTTCTTATCCTGCTTTCTTTTTTTTTCCTTTTACAAACTTTCAGTTCCTTCTCTCTACCCCACCTGCCCTTCATTGTAGTGCTTTTATTGCGTTGATTTCCTCTTTCTTCATTTACGAGGATGCTTATTTCCTTACTTCTCCAGATCTATACCCTGGAGGAGCTGTGACATTTGACATCTATGAGCTGACTTCTTGTGACTGAAGTTCTGCAACTCCTGAAATGATGAGGCCCTCCATAAATACAGGTGCACGGATTGAAGTGACTATTGATTTTCTGCATAAGGTAGCGCTTAAAGCACAGACCAAAGAATGGCTAGCTGGCTGGGGTCCAGGTGTTTCCAAGACAGCCAACAGAGTGGAGTGATGTGATTGATGGTGCTGCCTAATTTACGTTGATTAAAAGGAGTAGGTGAAGTGATAACCAGTTCTGGGAAAACTACCATGTACTCTAGTATTACACGTGGAGCAATGGCAATAGATGGTGCTGTCCTGCGCAGAGTGTTGTTTTTCATTCTCATCCTTCTATAACAGTAAGTTTTCTTAGTAATAGAGTCAACTTCTGTATACTATGGAATGAGAAATCTCAACTGTCTAAACATTAAGTGTCTTTTCTATAAGGCCTTGGTGTTTTGGAGGTATTTAAGTCGTGTTACAATTGAAAAAAAAAGTACCACATAAAGCTGAGAGGTGGGAAATCCCACTATGAAACTGCACTAAGCAAGAGATTGTGAGTTTATCTTCATTGGTGATCTAGTCCTGAGTTGTTAGACTGTTGATATTTCAGCTTCTCCCATGTTTCTTAGTGATGAAGGAGCAGCATTCTAAAGACCTCTCCCTCTCCCCAGTTTGAAGGTAGGCATGTGGATAGGTATGGTCTGATATGGGAGCCCCTGAGCTTGTTCCCAAACTGCCCAGCCCAAAAACCTGCCCTGGTACCTTGAAGGGTGGCTGGGAAAGGCTGGTGGGGCTGGACATGGTTAGGACTACCGTGGCAGTGACAGGCACCCAGAAAGGATGAGTTGAGAGGGATGCTGGGGGACAGGGATCCTCTGTCACTGCAGGTTTCCTCAGGAAAAAAGCTATTTCATTAAGCCCTGATTTTTTCCTACCCTGATTCGATGTCTCTGATGCTGGGTAGCAATGCCAGCGCTGTCAGCACCACACTGGGGGGCCAGGAAGCCCACGGTGGGTTGCATGGGGCCAGAGCAGGGATGTGGTGGCCAAGGACACCCCTGTCAGAGCTCTGACCCAGGGCTGCCCCATGCCTTGGGGTAGCCAGCAGTGGTTTTGTCCAATTTTTTTTTTGGAACAAAGCAAAATATTCCCACAATCCCCACCTTTTGCATAAACACAGCCCTGCAGAGTGGACATGCTCTCCTGAGTTTGACCAGACTGCCAAACACATCCTTCTGTTCATGAATCAGTCACCAAAACTGGGTTCCCAAAACCCTACAGAGGGAGAGTCTGAGGCATCCTGTAGTTTTCACCTACTTCAGCTCGGGGGATTAACTTCAGAACTGCTGAATACTCAAGACACTTGATTTTTGCTGACTGACTATGAGATTAAGAGCCAGGAATCAGCACTGAAGATCTCAGGCATGCAGCTAGATTAGTCAGTGTTGACCATTAATTGAACATTGGAGGAGGAACTGTTTGCTCACGTTGTTATCAGGTAGCACTCCCAGAAAATGTGCAAATCAGTCCATGTGCCTCCCTCAGAGCTAGGACACAAGTCTGGTCCTCTGCTGCACTGTGATTCCTAGAGCCCTTCAGGCTTACACTCCTCTTCTGAGTCACTGAAGGTACGGAAAAAAATTAATCTACATTTGTATATCCCTGCCTCCTCAGGTCAGCAGGACACCTGACCAAAAACCTTAAACAGGGAAGGTGCCAGTAAACACACAGCTGGAATGCACTCCATGTGAAGGTGTATGTAACATTGGCAAACCAAATTTCTGCCCATAATATTACTTTAATAGTCCACAGTTTTACAGCAACATATGTTCAAAATTATCTCTTCCAGAAAACTGCACAAGACTTAGGAAGTTTAACCGGAATGTTAAAAGAGCTCTTCAGAAAAATATAACATAATAACATTTTGCCAACTCTTTGAATGTATTTATTAATGTTTGGATTTGTGCAAGGAAGTTTCCATGCTATAAATTTTTATTAAAAACATGTCATTAGAAATAAATAGTACATTTATAGTCATAAACAAACCAGCAGTTTTTACATACACTGATGTTGGTTTTCCTCTTACAAAAATGGAAGTGTATTCCACCATCTATTTTTTTTGCTTATACCTGATATAAAAGGATAAAGTTGCTGCATGAATTTTATACTTATTTTGGGTTTCATATGTCCTCAAACTAGACACACAGAGAGTTTGTGTCTGTTTTCCTAATAACATTTATATGGGAAACATAGCCTTCTGTTCTTGCTGTTGATTTTCAATGTGGCAAATGAGCTTAAATACTGCAGAAAAAATGTAGTGATAATAACAAAGATTAATATATTGATTGCTTTTTCCTGCTTGCTCATGGGAATGACTGATTTGTATGAAAAAAGAAATGTGCTTGTACCATAGAAAGGTTCTATAATAACAGCTCGCTAAAGGAAAAATATTTTTTTTTAATTCACCAGAACCTTATTTTCATTAGCTGTGTGAAAATGTGTGGCCTGGTTTCTCAGATACCAGGAAAGCAGAATTCCTCAATGCTGTTCTCCTTTCTGTTTTCTGTTTCCTGCAGATCAAGTTGATGATACTCAAATGTCACACGGTTGATGTGTTTGCCGCTGGAGACCATTCGCAGCACGGTATTGTCACAGCCAATCTTCATTTGGGCTAGTTAGGGAAAAGGAGATATAGATGAGATATAAAGATACACTTACATGAGAGGGAAGGAAAAGAGATCTATAGTGCTGGGAATTACAAAGCACTAATACATACAATTTTGAAAACAAGGCAATGTTGTTTGTATTAATGACCAGCCAGCGGTGGTATTGCTGACTAAATACCTCCTTTTGTATTAGTTTTACTTTACAACGGCTTGGGTATTTAATCAAGTGTCATAACATTTACTCATGCAAATGCCACTCACTTCCCATCCACCCTCAGTCTCATGTTTGTATAGATAGACATGATGCAGAGGTCTGTACATGTTTGCATTTGGAAAGGTATGCTACTGTTATATGCGATGAGTGATGAGTAAGGGTAATGGCACCCTATCCTGGAGATATCAAAAGTTAACAACACTGAAATGTTTCCTCTTAGAGGGATGAGTGGTTTAGTGCATAAGGAGGTTCTTCACAGTAACAAAGGCATGTGAGAGTCCCACCAAAACAAACTCAAATGGCAGTGCCCAGCATATGGACGCACTCTGGGGGAAATCAAGCATATCACTAACCACTGCTTTAGATGAACCATTTGAGTGGGGGTTTGGCAAAGCCTGTTTTATTTGGGGATCTTGGAGCACCGTCCTCATTGGAGGAGAAATCTGGTGGGTCATTGGGAGAGTGGGGGCTGCCATGATGGGATTTTCCTTCCTTCACACCACCAGGAAAGCAAATTTTAATCTCATTGCAGTGCTTGGTATTCACTCAGCACCACCATTTGCCAATTAAATCTTTAAACAGTGCCTGGACCATTAAGTTGTACTGTGATGAAAGGCAAGGGAGGCCACAGGGGCAAAGTGCCAGGCACGTTCCTGCTCTTCAACCCTGCAGAAACGGCACTTCTCCAGTGCACCCATTCATACTCCCAAGGTACCACACATGTGTCACAGGGACCAGTCTGTCACATCACTGCAACACTTTGTACTCTGCTGTACTGAATATTAGGGAAGCGGGGAATTCCTATTTTTATGGGGAGAAAGAGGTCACAGACCTGGTATGATAGTGAAACAGGTTCAGAGCTCCTCCAGGGTTCAAAGCAAAGAGTGAGAGCTCTGAGGCTTTTGGGGTGTGTGTTACTCCTGCAGCAGAAAACGAGGCTTTGGAGACACTGAGCAAGTAAGAAAAAACTCCTTAACTGAAAATGTAACTGCTCTGCCTTAATTTGTTATGAATTTCCAGGCTCATTTATCTGTTGACACTTTAATAATCATATGTGTCATAGGAAAAGCATTTTAAAAATATGTATAACTTAACCTTGTTATAATGATTACTGCAGGGCAAGTGAAGGTGGTTGCGGGTGTGCTGTATCACACAGCCCAGCCACAGGCTTGAATAGCTCTAGCTGTCATGCTCTGCTACAATGTGAATGTGAGATTCACCAGTCTAGCAGGAAATCCCAGTCTGAGAGGGGCTCTGCATGACTCCCTCTGGTTAATTATTTTATCATGTGGAGGTTAAGTGGAAGAAGGAGTTCTTACCAGACCCATGAAATGAGTGACAGAGATCAGCTAGTGGAAACATCTTGGATGGATCCAAGCCAGTTCCTCCTAGCAGCTCTACAAAATCTCCCACTCCTGCACAGCCTGCTGATGGTTTCTAAAAAGGCAGAGATTAAGAGTTATTTATCACTTATCTTCAAAAGGTTGCAGTTCTCTAGACATGATTGCAGCCAACTGTAGGTTTTAGAAGTCCTCTGTGCTCAAACCTGTGTGAAATCAGGCTGATCTCATCCTGAGCAACGCTACTTCAATTTGACATTAGTCAGTTAATTTCCTTAAGGGATTCCAAAGAAAGATCTAAGCAGGCTCTGAAAATTACTGACAAGTAGTTAAGGTGTTGATTCAGCTGCAGTTAGTGCAGATAAGCAATCTGATTCTGGATGTTTAGACACATAATAAAACTAATACAGACATGGGCTGCGTGTGTGCCCACACTCAGCTGGCAGGCGGAAACTTAAGTTCCACTATACCATACTTATTCCTAAGCAATAAGTGTTGCTAAAATGTGATATTCTGGCAAAGTTTAACTAAATCAGGAATTAACCAAAAGAGTAGTTTTGTATGACGACAATGGCTCACTGTATATTAGACCCACAAATACTCTTTTCCTGAAAATTAACGCTGCTTGCCAAAAACATCTTGCACAGACACCTTGTACACCTTTGGGCTGTCACCCATATGCTGCTATTTAAGTGCCCAATTTCTTTATCGTCCTGCTGCTGTTGTCCTTTTTTTCTGCCCACTGCTGAACATGTCAACTTGCTTGCCATCTCTCAAAGCCTGCTTTGCTCAGACATTGGCAGTCCCCGTGAGGGACCTAGGCTTCCAGTCTCACTGGCAGCAGAAAACAAACTTTCTTGCTCCTATTCTTCTGGATATTTTGGAATTTGCACCTTCTTAGACCTCCCAGCACAGGGTGCCACCAATGGCTCTTGTCCTTGCCTGTCTGGTCATCACAAAGCACCAAATGCTGTGACCAAACCCCAGCCCCATGCTGTGCATCAGAGCAGATGGAGCAGAAGGTGCTAGGCACACCGAGCAGGGAATCAGCTGTGAGCACATTTGTATTTTCTCCACGCTAATACCTCCCTATCTAACTCATGTCTCCTTTCTCTGTTTAGAGTGGTTGCTGCTTTCATTAGTTTAAATAAAGACAGACAGTTCTCTGGGAGAGCACTCCTTTCTTTCTAATGACATTCTTACCCTTTGTAATGGCAAACAATATTTACATGCATTAATGGTAGTTTGCATAATTTGATTGCCTCTGCAACATTCCAGAGACAATAAAGACAGAGACAGACCCCGCTCTCATCTCTGAGGGGAAGCCAGAGCCCTTGGCACATGTGCACGTGGTCCAGAGCACACATGCCTTAGCAGCCAGTGCCACAGGCTATCCCCACTTCACCCCCTTCCCTCTCCCGTGCCCAGGAAATCTGCACATGGTAGTAATTTCTTAGGAAACAAACAACTCACCTTTAAAAAGAGGCCATTTAAATGTCCCAGAATAAGATCAGATATTTTTATCACCACTGGATAGATTATGGAGAAGCTGCAGTTTCTGTGCTGATGAGGAATGACCATGGTAAACCTTCCCGAGGGAGTCTGAGAGATGACATTGCAAGCTGGGGCATGGGGGAAGGTACAAGAGTTACTTGTGCAGTCATCACTGCATGTAGGAAAATTATGTACTTTCAGTACTAACAAAGAATGGATGATTTAATTACTGAGAGTTACAACCAGATGCTGAAAAATATGCATATGGCAATTTCTGGGGTTCTTGCATAGCGTTTTTTCCCTAACAATTCCCTGCCCATTGCTTACTGTGTAGCATGAGGTCTGGCAGAACTTGAGGGTGAAACAGTCAATGGGAGACCTCACACCCCAAAGCAGGGTCTCATGTTGTCAGGGGCTCATACTGTTTGCCAGTTTGAAGGAGGCTAAATATGGATGCAGGGCTTTTGTTTAGCTTTGACTGTTATTGCCTGATATTTCCAGCAAACCCCTGAGTCTTATTCTGCTCCTCTTAACTGGAGTTCCTTACACTGCAAAGCATCCCTTTGGAACTAGAGCAGGTTACATGCTGATTTTATCTTAAAGTTCAAACTTAACTGTTTAGGTAAGGGAGTATCTTATCATCTGCCTGTGCAACCCAAGGGATCCTCCACACAGCCCTGGAGGGCTGCAGCTGTTTCGGCAGACCAGTGAGGGACACAAGCCACCTTCAGCAGCTGCACACAATTATCACATCCACGGGCATGAAGCCACACCAGTGTGGAGACCCAGCTTGCAAGCTTATGTCTGAACAACTTGGAGTAAGGACAGGGCAGACGTGCCATCATCTTCATCCTTTGCATAGTGAAGTAGATATATCAGACTGGCCTGAACAATAGTTGTTAAATGTCCTGTCCCCTTTTGGAAAAAAAGATGCAAGTGACCATTATTTGTGCCTTGCCAGCTCACAGGCTTAGGGAAATAACTTGCAAATTGATCCTTGGGATAAGCTATCACTTACAACTATCACATAACTATTCAATACACTCATTTTTGGTGCTGAACTTTTTCAACTATTTTTCCTCATTGTTCACCCAGATCTAGAAATTGCTGAGATTAAACTCTCTAGATTAATACTATTTGTTCTAGCTAAATGCATTGGAACATGACAATATTAGATTGGAAGAGATCTTTGAAAGAAAGAGCCTTCTGGTCCTGAATATTGAAGACATGCCTAAGTTATCTCTTATGCTTCACTTACTTTTTTTTTCTTCAGACACACACTGAGCCTGAGTCAAATCCTCAGGCATGTGGGCATGTCTGGCTCCGCTGGCATTATTGGAGCCATGTCAGTGCAGCTAACGCCAGCGAGAGAATTCAATGCAAACCAACACATTCATTTTGCTTCCTGCTCCAAACGTAAGCCCGTTTGATGGTATGAAAGGCAGACTTACGAAAGAGGTTGGCGTTTCTCTTGACTGTGACAGTAAATCCATTGCCTGGCTGGTGAATGCTGAAGAAGATCATTGCCACATTCTGCGATGACCTGATGCTCCTCTGAATATTGCCACTTTCACAAAAGTCTATGTATCTTTGGGAAGTGGGGAGGGGATGGTCGAAGGAACTGGGAAATTTCTCTCCTTTGAGTATCCAGCCATCAAATACCTACAGGGGTTCAATAGTTAAAAACAAGGGGTTTGCGAGTTGCTCTGTTAGCAGAGAACAGAAACATGAAGGATTACAGACACTGTTTTATTTTGACACCAGATGACCTGTTCAAAGCCACCAATTAAAACCAAAAATTATTTGTATTTATTGATATCCTAGTGTTTAACTAATTATTCAAACTTCAATCCCTATTTAGGACAGGGATACATTTCAGTTTTAATGTTGTCTTTATTTGCTTCAGGTGACAAATTTGGTGACCTCTTTTTGAGGGAAGCAGTTCTTTTTGCTCCAACATCATCACATTTGCTTTTTTTTTTTTGTTTCTTACTATTGCAATTTCATTGTTACTAAGAGAAGTTTTTGACCAGCTTGATTTGGAAGCCACATGAAACATGTCACCCTCTCAAACTCTGGGCATTAAGTCCATTGATCTGGCCTGTAATTTTCCACCATCCATGTTTTGCAACTTGTCATTAATGGGCCCAAGGGCCTTCCAGAGGTATTGAAATACAATAAAGCTTCAGGGAGGAATTATTGTCAGAGGTATTGCTCTCTCCTGTGTCTGTTCTTTCAGCTCATCCTAGCCACTAGAAAGCAGAACAAATGCTGCCTACTTGGCTGGACTGTAAGCAGCAACCTCTATAAATCTTGCCTTCACAACAAAAATAGCAACAATTTGCCCTCACCATCTTCAGGGAAATGTGTCAGAAACGTATCAACAGTAGAAATCTATATTAACACTAGCATAGCTGTGCTGTTGCCTGCCTTGCTGTTTCAATTCCCTTGTAGCCGCTCTCAGCTGGTAATTCCTTCTACATTCCATTCAATGCTTGAAAATCCAAGGACTGGATCCTGCCATTGCTTCAGTGAGTAATTGTAATGTGAGTATGAGTGGGAATTCCTTATGGAAAAGCTGCAGGATCAGTCTCTGGATTTGCCAGAACTGTAAATTTTCTGAAGTAATGAGATGTGGGTGTTCAAATTACACCAGGGAAAAGCTGCCTGTGTAAATACAAGAGTATAATGCAGAAACTGGGGGCCCCATGATCAAAGGAAGGAAGCCTCTATAAAGCCTCAAAGATCTCTTGGCATTTTTCTAGCCTCCGTAAGTGGCTGTAAGTCTAGGTACAAAATCCTTGGATCCACAAGAGGCTGAAATCAGCCTCCCTGTAGCAATGTGGGGGGAGATCCCAGCCAGGGGTACAGGGTGGAGGGACAGAATTCCCCAGAGTAAAGCAAGCAGGGGGACAGCATCTCTCCAAGAGATGGAGACAAGGAAAGGGCTGAAGGGCAGCTTTCCTCCTCCTTCTCCCTGGGGCTCAACTTACAAGCAGGCAGGATGGGGGCTGTGCTGTGCATGGCCACCGGCCACTGCAGCGCAAAGGGCAGAGTGCAAGGTGAAGGAAGCAGCCAGGGGCTGTTGAGCCTCCCCTTCTCTCCTGAACCAAGTTCAGATCTTGGTCAACACTTCTGCCTACCAGCAAAGTGCGCTGGTAGTTTTTTGATGCTGGAATATAAACGGCTCTGAGTCATGAACCTTTTTCTGTTCAGAGCCAACATCCTGAAAAGCCCTAGCGGGGCCATTTGAAAGAAAGCCTGCAATGATCCACTCATTAATAAGCTGATGCTAAATGACCTGGGAATAGAGGCCCTGGAGCAGTTAACAGCCATTCAGATAGCCGTATCATCATCTGCAGGGCTCGTGTGATTCACGGTGCAATGAGAAAACCCTCCTAACAGGGCTGAGGGGCTTGGCTTGTACTGGCCAAACTTTTCAGTCGGTCCCCCACGTATGGACACTCAGTAGGTGCGCTCCTGGAAAAGGTCAGAAGAGCTGGTGCTGGAGTTTGGAGAGGGATCCTCAGCCTGCACCTGACTTTGCTTAGGGGGGCGGTGATGGCGGGAGACATACCCAAAGTGCATCAGGGAGGAGGAACAGCATTCCCAGACACAGCTGCTTTGTGAAAGCCAGTTCTGCACACTCAAACACATGCACACTCATGTGCCCATGCATTCGCCTGCCCCTTCCATACGTAGCAAAAGTCTCACATGTCAGATGAGAGCAGGGAAGGGGAAGTGCAGCAGGACTTGCCAGCTTCTTACCTTCAGGAAATCTCCTTCTTGGCAGTCAATGTTTACAAAGTCGTAGTCTATTGTGATGAGCTCCTCGGGCTCCCCAATGAAGAAGGTCGCACAGTGCAGCTGCGGTTGCTCTGCAGTGAAGGTGAACTGCCCCTCTATACTCAGCATGTCGATGCACCCTGCAGAAACAGAGACACAGGGCTGCTGCCTCAGCCTGCTCTCCCCCAGACCCAGTGCCGGCTCCCATAGCACAGAGAGGGGGGGGGCGTGGAGAGACCCCCCCCCCCCCGAGGTGGGATGGCCCCCCCCCCCCCACTGATACCTGGCTGGCAGTGAAGAGTAGGAGACCCAGCTGAAGCAATTAGGACCCTGCTGAGCATCAGAGGATGAATAGTAACTCGCAGGTGTGAGCACAGGCATGCAATGCGGGGTGCAGGGGGCAATGACATGTCGAAGCATCTGAGCAGAAAACTCTGTGTGTGCGTGTATGTGCACAAACACCTCATTCCTTCAGATTTGTCTCTAATTGCAGCTTTTCCACCTGCCCCATTCCCTGAAGATATGACCCTGCCCAGGGACATGGGTGGACAATCCCCATCCTCCTCCCATTATTAGGCACCCTCAACTCTGAGCCCCAGCCTCTTTTCAGAGACCTGTTTCAATCCTTCTGCCTCAACCACAGTTTTTCTGAGATTTTAACACTTTATCCTTCTTCTCCCTGCTGTTGCAAAAAGCACCTGCAGCTCTGTCACTCCCAAACAGCCCCTTCTCTGCCCTGAGCTCCCCCCTGGACTGTCCCACCCACTGATGGTCCCCACCAGAGCACCAAAGAAACTTACGGAGTGACCGCCGGTAGATCTGCCCTGCAGACAGCTCTCGCTTCAGGTCTTCGCTGAGGAGTAGAAAGGGCTCATCTTCACCAGCATCCCTCACCTGGTGAAGGAAAGAGGGCAAGAAGAGGCTGGGGCAAAGTGAAATAGAGCCCCCTCCCTGCACCTATCAAGAACAGGCACCAGCAGATTAAATCCCTCCTCCAGAAACGGTGCAGCTGTGGAAGAGCTCAGTCAGAAAGCTGCCAACCTGCAGTAGAGGGGAACAAACCTGACACCTAAGAGGTGAGCCCAGCAGCTCAGTGCACAGCAAGTCTCTTAAATCCTCAGCAAAAATGCAAGTTTGAGAAAAGGGATGATAAACAAATGGCAGGGGTGGGTGGGACTCTTGCATTAATGTTACCCAGGTGTAGGTTTAATGCAGCAGGAGTGGGAATAGGAGGGGAGAGAGGAAAAATGATGCTTAAAAGCTGGAAGTACAAGTTAGAAGACAGCAGCTAAAAGCACAGTAACACACTTTAGCTACCAGCCCCATTGCTCACCTCTAGGTATCTGGTTTCCCCCTTGGAGGCTGCCAGGAAGATGAGAACGAAGTGGCATTGAAACTGGAAAGCAGATGGCATGCTGACACCTCCTCTGGCAGCCCTCCCTCTCTCCCCACAGCCAAGTTTCTCCTGGTCTGCGCTGGTAGGCAGGAGCCACTGGGGTATCTTGGAGAGACTCTTTTTATAGAGCTGTTGGGAGGGGAGGCACTTGGTCCCCGTACTGATAGGGTAACCCATGGTAACTGAATTCCTCTCACAGTGACACAGTATGTGGGCATGACAAGGGTCCAAATCGCAGCCACAGATTTCCAAGCCGGTCAAACTCCCCTTGCTGGCAGATGTCTTTTCTACTTATCTGTCTGGTGAAGCTGAAAAGCTCTGTGCAGCTGGGGAACTCACGCACTGTGTTTATTTCCAGTTACTCCAAAGTGAGGAACAAGGAGCATCCCTCCTTCCTCCTTTTCTCCTGCTCTCCTGTCCTGGGGCATTTCAGACCTGCGGTGTTCCTTGTCTCCCTCCTGCTGCTCCATGACATGTAGCTCTCCGCAGCCCCTGTGCCAGGTGCTTCCTACCAGCCAGGAGTGGGTGGGTGCCCCTGCATCCTAGCCAGGCTTGCAGCCTGGGGCCAGTATCCCCCTGGGGCTGGGGGACCCACTGGCTTCCAGGTCTTGTGCCTGCAGCTGGGGCATAAGGGCTCTGCAGCAAGTACACAGGCAAAACCAAACAGCTCTCCCCCCCAGACATGGCTTTCATGAAGAAATTAGGAAAACTTGGGGTTCCCAAGTGCATATTTCCCACAGAAGACTTGATATTGCTCCATTCCTCATCCTCAAGGGAAACCTGAGAAAGGCCTTCAAAAGATGAACCTGGGAATGAAAATTCAAAACTCTGCAGAGTAAAAATCAGGAACTCAGCAGAGATATTAGGTTTAGGGTATATGCTTGTTTTCACCTGACCCAGGTTGAACCATGAAGACTCTGTGCACAATAACTACCCTTTCGCTACCTCAGGCTTCTTGCTAATGTCTCCTGCTCTATGCTTCCCTGTCAAATTGTCACTTTGGTTCAGCAAAACTTAGAAATAATACTGTCCGGACTTGCAAAGCTTTAAGTTTGCTGCTTCTGATTTCATTGTTAGGGCTTGTGGACAGAAACATTTGCTTGCTGTTTCACCCAACTTGTTGGTTGAACAACAAATAAATAAATCTTATTCTGTCTGTACACCTGTGGCTCTGACTTTATTATGCTGTAATTCTTGTTCTTATGGTTTACTTTAATGTAAACTATAATATTGCTCCATATCTACATGGCATTTCTGTGAATTTGCCACAATATGTGTGGGCTTCAAGAGCACAAAAATACTAAGGAAATGGAAAACATTATTTTTGAAGTTTGACATCAAGTTATTCAAAGGTTTTTAAAATTGCTTTGGGGAACTGAGTAGTTAATTACTGCATGAACCAAGACTGAATTAATTCACCTTCATGTACTTGCCTTCAATTGTTTAAATACTGTGATTTTAGGCAAGGATTATCAGAAGCACCAAGGGAGTTCGGAATCTGAAATCCATTGAAGTTTTTGGGAATTACAAGTTCTGTTGGAAAACTGCAAGGTTTAGTCCTAACTTGCATTAGAGGATGGCTGGGAGGTTAATCAGAGTGGTGAGAGGTGCCCTGGAGACCACTGGATCCTGAGGGACGAGGAGGGGCTGCAGGGGAGCCCAGCCTCATTTGCTTTTCTTATCACATGTTCACTCTCTGAACAGATGAAGAAAGTTGGGATTACAGCATGACCTCTCCACTCCCCATCTTTGAGGCAATTTGCAGAACCTGGTGCCAGTTCTGACTGGGTGTCCTGGTTTGTCCTGCTGGTCCCCAACCTAGACCTCTGATGCTAAGACCTTGAATGTCTTCAGTAAAGGATAGAGGTTATTTGATTTTGTGAGAATTCGATGAGTTACTGAAGATTTGGTTAAATTCAGCTCCAAAAATGAGTGAAGGACAAATTACAGTATGACTGTCTTAAACCAGCTGTCAGGTGATCTACTTAGAAAAAAACATACCAGCAGTGATGTCAACATATTTTAGACTCTTGCCCATGAATAGCTGAGGTCTGGGCTAGCATAGCATTTGCTGGTGGAGGTGCCCAGACAAGCAGGTAGGGGCTGGAGGAATCCCGGCAGGTGATGTGTGTGGACTGTCCTTCTCCAGCCAACAAGGTGAGGGGAGGGAGGTTAGGAGCCACCTCCTTGTCTGTTGCAATTTCTTACTCACATGGGACCAACGGCAGCTTTGCGTTTCCTGTGCAACACCTGCAGGAGTTTGCTTTGAGGGTTACAAATATTCTGTGTAACACTAATGCAAAAGCTAAACTCAGATGCCCTTTGCTGTGGATGAGGAGCTTGGTTTTAACAGAGGCACTAAGGCAACCTGTCATCTACTGCGTATCATCTTCCGCTTTGCATTTCAGCTCGGGGCTCGGCAGGAGCTGATGAAGCATGATGACATCCTGCCCAGCCTCATCGCAAAACCTCCTAGTGCCTGGGGTAATTACCTGGCACTAATTCCTCAAACACAGGGCTGCCCTCATCCCCCAAACTCTTATATGCTTCCCTTTGTGCAGCTCTAATGCCTTTGGAAGGCAAGTATTTGGGGTGGGGATAGGGAACCACGGGCAGAGAGGTGCAGCTGCTGCTGCTGGTAGGGGCTCTGCCCTGCAGTGCCTCCACACCTGGCTTAGGTGGAGCCTGGGCAGATAGACACCCAAAGGGAACCAGTCCCGGGGAAAGGAGGGGGCTCATCTCCTAGCCCTACATCCTGACTGTCAAGAGGGTGACAGAGGATGGGGGACCACCTCCTAACTCAACAGTGCTGCCTCCTCACAGGGTATCACAGGTCCCCTTCCCCTCTGCATCTCCCTTTGCCCACTTCAGCGCTGCTTTTGTTTAAGGCCGCTGGCAGAGACTGAGCTCTTCAGGAGATGAGACTGTGACTAACAAAGCAAAGAAAAATCAGCAGTTTAAACAGGGTTCAAAACATCCCTGCAGCATTTCAGAAGGGAAAAGCACCTTCAATGTGATACAAACCCTTGGGCAAATGAGGAGGGTGTCATTTTTCTTTCATGGGGTTGAGTCATATTAACACTTCGTAGGACAATTCTTTTTCTTAATATCAAATTATATAACACAGTAAACCACATTCCCAATCTGACCCTGCTAGGGGCTAGATAATCCAGTTGCTCTCATGTTGTGACACCTTGACTCTGCTGACAATTGTAACTCACCCTGGGAGCAGCCCCTTTCCCTAGCAGAAGCGACGGGATGCCACCATCCTGGTGAGAGGCTGGGCTACGTGCAGGGTGACACACACCCCACTCTGCTATGGCTCAGGGTGGTATTACTGGAGAACCCCAACCTTTGCAGAGCATCAGGTTGTTGAAGCAGTGCTCATGGGTGGGTTTTTTATGCTGTTCAGCTATGTGCTTGGGAGGACACCCCTGCCCCATGGTGGAAATCCTCCGCCTCTTGCTTGGAGCTTGTAGGCGTCTTGTCAGCTATTATAGCAGAGAAGTGATCCCAGCTGCGGTGGGAGGTAGAGAAAATACAGCTAAACAGAGTAGTGAAACAAACCTTGTTTACCCTCCCCTGTGTTGATCAAGCAATGCTCTGTGCTATAATACAGGTAGTAAATGCAGTTTCTTCTCCTCAGAGGTAAGGTAGTTGGTAGAAGATTGTGTGAGTGGAAGATTGTAGATGATGCTCTAGGTATTGAGATTTCTCAGTGAGCAGTGCTTGAGCTACAGACACTCCTTAGGGATCCCTGCCTGATGAGAAGAGGGGCCAGTTATTATGAACCCTTTCTGCTGTCCAGAAGGGTCCCTTGCGTCCCCAGCTCACTAACACAGCACCCTGCCATTCTTTAATTCCTGCAAAAGATAATTTTATTTCAGCACTCGCTTCACCATAGACACACTGCAGGCTGCGGCCCCCATTCCCTCCACTCGACATGGAAATTTCACCTGCAGCACATCTCATCCTGCACCCAGGTAAAGGGATGAACCTTGAGGATTGCTGGATTGCTGACTCTGGAGACCTCGTACAAACCACAGCTCCTGGACTTCCTACCCCCTGTTTGCTGAAACCCACAATCTTCTGGTTTGGGCCATATTTTAAGCCCACCATTTCTTCCCCTCTGGAGCACCTCCCTCCTCAGCTGCAGCCTGACTGCTCGCACAAGCAGCTGGAGCAGACCAAACCTCCCTCTAGCACCGGCACCTTAAACAAGAGTTAATTTTCCTGTATAGACACAGCCGCATGCAGGCTCCAATTCCACGCCACAGGGAGCAGCCCGGCTGCTGCACGTCCCATGGGGCACCCTCTGCTTGTCTGTGCCTGGTAGTTTCTTGAACTGATGGGAGCAGCAGCACGTACACAGTGCTACACCACTGATTGCTCAAGTGAAGAGGATTTATCCTGCCTCGGGTGCTCCATCCTCGGCTGTTGATGCTGCTCAGTGCTGGCTGGAGAGATGCAGTGTGGGGTGATGCACTGTGTGGGATGTCTGGCTGGACTTTAAACTTCCTCTCGTGTCTACTGCTGAACATTGTGCTGAGCTACATTTATTCCTCTTATGCTCATCCCCATTGTAACTCAGAATTAATTCAGGGACTAGCTTTTCCTTTCCGCCACAGTGTCTGGGAGACATAGTACTAGCCAGCCCTTGGTGTTTACTGTGTGGCTGCAGGACACCGATGTCCATGCCTTCGCAGGGTAGGGGAGTGCTGCACATCACTTGTATTTTATTATACACATATGCCATTCAACTGGTTGCAAATCCTTCAGTATATTATTCCTGAACAGTGGGATCAGTCAGCCCAGATTAAGGCGAGAAAGAAATCTAGTGTCTCTGAGGTGTCACAAATGCTACAGTGAGGGCTAAATTTTTGATCCCGTCCTTGCTGAAGCGCATGCTAGCAATCAGTTATTGCTCTGAAATAATGCCAAAGAAAAGGAAGCAAAGGGGAGAATGTAATGCAAATCGCAGCCCTGGAGGTCATTAGGAAACCATATCCTTGATACAGACTCACACAAGACTTTGTTTCAAAAACTGTCAGAGAGATTGAGAAGCTAAACCCAAACATATATGGAGCTC